TTCGCGGCAAGGCAAAAATACATAACACCTCAAAATATCTTCATTAAAAATTGAAAAATATAGGAAAAAAAAACACCATTAAAACAATTCAAAAAAACAATTTTTACAATTAAAATTTAGAGCTTCTACCCCAAAACAAGCAGTTCCGCCAGTAGGCAAGAAGGCAGATTTTTCGATGGGCAAAACTGAAAGTTTCCTTTTCGTCTCCCTCGGCGAAAAGACACTGAAGGTGAAGAAATTGACTTCATTCACTATTCTGCTCAGTTTCAAATATGAACAAATATGGCTGCTACGGGAAAAAAAATAGGTTTAGCCGCACTTAAACAACTCTTAAATTGTTGATAATTTTACAACTATTGCATGCAAATTAACTAAAGGCATAAAAACCTTAACCGGAAAAAACTAACAACATAATTCAATCAATTTTAAAAGCAAAAATACACAATACGAGTAAATACGAGTAATAGAGTGGGTATATACATATATATGTGTGTGTGTGTGTGATGTACCAGCTTTTGTCCGGAATAAATAGATTGGTGAAGATCATAGGTGTTTCGAGCTCATATCAGACGATATTTAAAAAAAAAAAACAGGATCATTATTATGGTCAGGAAAAATAGCAGTTAAAAATAGATCTGAGTAATAAAAAAGAATTACCCAGAAAAGACCCCGATATTCCGAGTCCTTTATAGCCTCTGGAAAGGCGGAGCTTCAAGAAAGACGTCAGCCATTCCAGTTCGCTTAATATTTCCAGAACATTATAATGTAGTGTAGAAAAGGGGGGAAAACACTTGACTACGGGGGTGATTTTAATTCGCCGTACTTTCAAATAAGAGAACGTCCATTAAAAAAAAAGACATACAATTAGATTTTAAGTGCAGTTCATTGACTATGGAATTTAATTAAAATATTATATATATACTTTTGGTGTGGCAGATTGCAACTAAAAGGGGAACTGCACATCTACATGTAATAGCAGTCCTATACACAAAATTTCAACCTTTTGAGGGTACTCGTTTTTGAGTTATGTGAGATACATATGTACTTACGTACAGATGTGACGAAAAAATCTTTTCTGAATCCATTTTAAATCCATTTTAAATTTTATTAATTCGTTTTGAGAAAAACAATCCTTTATTTTGTCCTTACGTACAGACGTCACGCCAAAATATCCTCAAATTGCATTCGCTAGCGGTGAAAATGGATGTTTTCATTGAAATATCATACACAGAATTTTTCGTGGTTACAATATTTCCTTTACTTCGTAGAAGGAAGTAAAATCTTTCATTTACTTGGAAAAAAATGAAACTGTAACTAAAGTCTAAATCAGTATTAAAAGCAGAGATATTATGACCTTGTGTTGAGAAATTAACGAGTTACACCATTCTTAATTTAACATCAATATCGTAATCTTCACTTTTCTCATGCTTGCTTCTGTTTCTGGTTAAGTGTCATCTACTGCCTCTCCCCTTTTTACTTCCTTTTACGAAGTAAAAAGAAAGTATTGTAATCGCAAAAAGTTTCAGGCAACATATTTCAACGAAAATATCCATTTTGACCGCTATCGAATGCAATTTAACGTGTTTTTGGTGATATCTGTAGAGGACAGAATAAAAGACGCTTTTCCTCCAAAAAAATATAAAACTGCTTAAAATAATTATGAAGAGAATTTTCGTGGCGTCTGTACGAAGATGTAGTACGTGAGCTAGTAGTATCTCGAGAATCAAAACAAGTACCTCAGAACGTTGAAATTTTGAATATGGATGCTATACATGTAGTGTGCACTCGTATTTTGGTGCATCGGCCGACCAAACGTATATAAATATTTATATATATATCAAAACTGTTACGGTCAGTGATCTCGTTTCTTTACTCTTATATGTTGTAAATGGACAATTTTGATTTAAAATGAGGGAATATTTGTTTTTTATCGGTTAAGGGTTTATGCTTTAGTAATTCGGGAAGCAATATTTGTAACAATATCATCAACAATTAACCGCGTTTAAGTGCGGGTTAAGTTTGTAAATAACATTTACGGACATATTTGTTACATTTGAAACAGTATAGGAGTAGGATTTGTTGGCAATCTAAGGGCTTTACAAGAACAAAGAGACGCCTCAATTATTATTGCCGAATTCAATCTGCTTAATTCCTTTGGGATTTTTTCGAGTAAATAAGTGTTTAAGATTTACTTCGCAATTTTTAATGCAGATTTTTGATTTTTATGTATTTTTGCCTTGTCCGAAGTGAGAAATGAATTAAGTGAATGAGAAATACTCAATCGTCGTTAAAAAAAAACTGTTTCTTGTCTGTTGTGTGATTAATTTCTTTCATACATCGTTTTAGTTATTATAGTATTGAGCTTATTATAGTATTATAGCATAACGGAATTATATATTTGGACCACCATTATACGCTTTTGTCTATGGCTTATTTGTTTTATTCAATAAAAATACGCAAAAGATTAAAACTAGATCCAAGAGAATACGTAGACTACTTGTTTCAGAAAGAAAAATGATCCACCAGAAAAATCATAAGTGCCGTTGTTTTGCTGGAACAGACCAATTGAAATTTTAATCATTATATATCTCTCTTCTCTCTAATATTATAGATATACAGGGGTTCAATATACAGCTGTAACAAACTTTCAGGAGAGATAGAATACTTCTTGGACGATGGGAAATCACATAGTAATGCATGGTCGGGAAACGCTTTCCTGGCGCGGTGGTGACAACACAAAAGTCAAGAAAGAAAAGACACGAACGGGGTGAGTAAACATATTTATTATTCGGAATGCAACAAAAAGAAAAAAAGAACATACATTTTTCAGTCTGATACGATATGGCACCCACATAAAAAATTTCGATAAGAAAAATAAATTAATTCTTTCTTTCATTATATCAGCAACAATTGCACGCAGTTTTTAATGATTTTCGTCTTTCTAATCAAATGGTCGTAAAAGCTGAAGTTCCATCCAATATTTCATCTAGATTCAATTTTAGTTGATTAAATGTGACAAAATATTTATCATAATTGGCTATAAATCAATAAGACGAACAAACAAACACACAAACAGACATTCAAATTTTTATATATTGAGACATTTTATAAAACTTGTAAATTTTTGATTAACAAACTCCACGATTTGAAAGCGAGCAGTGGCAACACTTCTCAAAATAAAGCATTTTTATTGCCAACGCGCGAGACTGTTGCCACTCGGAAAAGTGAATGTGAATATTATAGCTTTCAGAGATTTTAATTAATATTTCGGCTGATTAAAGTCGTACGAAGACAGGTGTAGTCGAAATGGCTTCCCGGTAATTTTCGGAATCGGGAATATTGTATTTAATGTCGCTCGGTAAAACAAAGGCGAAAATTATCCTTTTTCCGAGTATTTAATCAATATCTCTGATTTTAGCTATTTGTTTTTGGAAAAAGTTGACGTCGATTTTTTCCAGAACCCAGAAAAGAATTATTGAAAGTTTGGTGACGATAGCTACAGTACTGACTGAGTTATTAGACGACAATCGAACACACATTTTTCTTCTTTATATATATAGACGAGAAGGTTCTGGTAATTTTCGTTTTCTTGAGATTTCTGGAAAGCAAAAGGGTACAATTACCGTCACAGCTAACACAGTACTCAATTACATTTATTCAGTTTAAATATAAATTACCAGGCATCTATTTATTAAATGCGCGTGCTCCAGTATTTTTACTTTTTCCGTGTAGCTTCTCCTAAAACTCGTCATTACACGCTACATTACACGGGCAAATAAAACGATTTTAATTACAATTCTACTAACACTTGCTAACTAAATACAAAATCCGAAACAATATATTCTGTATTCGATTGCAAGATTTAGGTGTCATGTATGATGTGTTGTATTTGCATATGTACCGATAGCTCTAAAATTGCTGCGGTATTTAATTACTCTGCAAGCCTCATGGACGTATCTGTGGAACAAGTGAGATTTTGCATTTACTGTCGTAAATAAAATAATAATGGTTATACAAAAGGTTAAAAGGCGTTGTGTCAGGAGGAGTGCGTCCAAGGCAGGAAGGGTTAAACCCGCGAGCTCAGCGGCATCAGAAAAAAAGAAGCTTAACAAACTCTTGATGCGAGTTACCAACTAAATCTTTCACACTTTTTCTTTTTTATATTTAATAGTACGTTCTTGTGAGTGATGCTATTGTATTATTACTAGATATATAAACTTGTCTACAAATTGTAAAAGTGTTTAAAAACATAGTAAAATATAACTGTCATTTTTTATTAATTATAACACATTTATTTTCCGCTTTACTGCATCTTAATTGCAGTCGCGATAACCGTCAATGGACCTAAACACGAGTTTGTTTCGGGGTCAATCTTCATTACTGTAGCTGCTTTTAGAATTACCAGATTATGAAATAGATGCCGAACATTTTTGTTTCGAAAACAGCAGTCAACCTAGCAGGCCATTGTTGTTCCAAGGCGAAATATTTCAAACACGTGATATCAATTGCCAAAGAATTATTCTCTCATAAATTTAAAGTTAAAAAATACTCAATATAATAAAAATAACCTTAAGAACCCTCTTCACCAAAGGCAGATGCAACATAAATCATAATGTTAATTGTAAATCATAATTGTAATTAATTGTAAATCATAATTGTAAAACATAATATTTGTAGACAAGTTTATTTGGCAAAATGGCAGGTCCTCTAATGGCACGGAGGCTCAGAAGCTAAATTATTCTGCCCACGACTATATGTTTCACCCTGCTGCTTAACCTCCTGCTCCTCCTTCTTCTGCTCCTCCTCCTGCTGCCCCTCTTCTTGCTGCTCCTTCTCCTGCTGCTCCTCCTATTCCTGCTCCTCTTCCTGCTGCTCCTCCTCTTGTTGCTCCTCCTCATGCTGCTCCTCCTCCAGCTGCTCCTCTTTCTGCTGCTCCTCGTAGGAGGAGGAGCAGCAAGAGCAGGAGCAGCATGAAGAAGAGCAGCACGTGGAGGAAGCAGCTAAAATAGGAGCAGCAGCAATAAGAGCAGTGCGAGGAGGAGGAGCAGCAGGTGGAGGGCAGCAGGAGGAGCAGCGCGAGGAGGGGCAGCAGAAGAAGCAGCGCTGTGAGGAGCAGCATGAAGAGAAGAAGCACGAGGAGCAGCATGAAGAGAAGAAGCACGAGGAGCAGCAGCAGGAGAAGGAGCAGCAAGAGGAGGAGCAGCATGAGGAGGAGCAGCATGAGGAGGAGCAGCATGAAGAGGAGCAGTAGGAGGAGCAGTGCGAGGAGGGGCAGGAGGAGGAACAGCGCTATGAGAAGCAGCAAGAGGAGGAGCAGCTAAATGAGGAGCAGAAGCAAGAGGAGCAGCAGAAGGAGGAGCAGCAAGAAGAGGGGCAGCAGGAGGAGCAGCAAGAGGATGAGCAGCTAAAAGAGGAGGAGGAGGACGAGGAGGAGCAACAAGGAGGAGCAGCATGAGGAGGAGCATCAGGATTGAGCAGTAGGACGAAAGATATATTCGCGGACAGAATGATTTTGCTTCCTGGCCTGTGTGCCATTCGAGACCAGCCATTTTGCCACGTGCCGCTCGCCATTCCGTAATTGTAAATAGTAATTTTGCAGTTGTAAAAATAATATTGTAACGTTTAAATGATAAATATATGGAGAAGAGGAGAAGAGGGTTCTTAAGGTTATTTTTATTATATTCAATATTTTTCAACTTGAAATTTATGAGAGTGACTTCTAGTTGCAACTGTTGTCACGTGTTTGAAATATTTTCGCCTTGGAACAACAAAATGGCCTGCTAGGTTGACTGCTGTTTTCGAAACAAAAATGTTTGGCATCTGTATTATAACTGGTAATATAAAAGCAGCTACAGGAATTGAAGATTTACCGAAACAAACTCGTGGTTTAGTCCATTGACGGTTATCGCGACTACAATTAAAATTGCAGGAAAGCAGAATAAAATGTGTTATAATTAATAAAAACTGACAGTTAATATTTTAACTATGTTTTGAAACAATTTAATTTGTAGACAAGTTTATTTAGCTAGAAATAAAACACATCAACAGAACGACGATTAAAAAAAAGAAAAAGTGGAAAGGATTTAGATTGTAACTCGCATCAGAGAGTTGTAAGGTTTTTTCGTTGCCGCTGAGCTCGCGGTTATCTGCCTGCTCTTGGAACGCACTCCTACTGACACAAATACTGTACCTTTGTATAACCATATTATTGGTATTTAGAACAGGAAATGCAAAATCTCACTTGTTCCCCCAGATACGTATGAGGCTTGCAGAAGTAGTAAAACCTCAGCAATTGATAGAGGCTATCGATACAGATGAATAAGACAACACAATAATACAGACACCTAAATAAGGAGCGAATTAAAGAATATATGTTCGGATTTGGTATTTAGTTGCAAGTGTTAGTAGAATGTTAATTAAAATCGTTTTAGTTGCCCCGTGTAAAGTAGCGGTGTAAGACGAGAGTTTGAGGAGAAGCTACACGGGAAACGTAAACATACTGGAGCACGCGCATTTAAAACTAGATGCAGGGTTTAATTTAGATTTAAACTGAAATAAATGAATGAGGTTACTGTGTTAGCTGTGACCGTAATTCTAAGATTTGGTTTCACAGAACAGACGTCCTCGAAGGAACGGAAATTACCAGAACATTCTGGTGCACGATTAAAAAGTTTTAAAAGGCCGGAGAGAAATATCTCAGTTCAGTTGTTAACATAACTGTTCTGTTGATTATAGCGACTTCATTATAGCAGTGATTATAGCAGTGAGATCGGATTAGCTTTCTCTGAGGTCTGGATCGCGTTTTATTTGATGTTTTAGTAGTTTAAAATGTAACTACTGCGTGGTATTGTGAAATTGTACCCATATCTATGAGGAAAAATCCAGCATTGTGTTTTATTTCTTGGATAAGAATAAATTTTGGCACACCGCTGGCCCAGGCGCCCTTGGGCGGTGAACAGTTTTGCCACCCCCACGCGGCGGCCCTGTTTAGTAGGTAATTACCAGTTTGAATTTCAAAGCTTGCTTTCTACAGGTCATGGAATTAGTTCAGCTCTTCAGCAAGTCCAAAACAATAAAGGCAACCAACCTACTTCATTCTGTAAGAATATGTCTTTGCTTCAAATCAGCTTTTGATTCTTTTTGGTGGCCAACAGTTTTACAATCTTTGCGCTCCTTTAAGTGCCCTCAAAATTAGTTTCTAATTATTCCAGATTATTTCATAAACAGAAAACGTATGATTCTTTACAACAATCTTCGAAATTGTGCGCAACCGATTCAGAGGGTGTCTCAAGGGGTCCTGTATGAGTGCAGATCTCTGAAATATCAGTTTTAACAACATCATTGCTTATTCATGGCTAAACCGCTCATAAATTGCCGCTTTTGCAGACGATTGCATTTATTACAAGTGGGCGTACTGGAGACAAATTACAGGGTAACTGTAATGAAGCACAACGAACTTTGCAAAATTCAAAAGCTACAAATCTCGAATAGTAAGTCATTTACGTTCACAAAATGTTGTTTTATTACTTACGGAAGTTTTGCTGCATATAGTACATGTTTTTCTGCATTAATCCATGCACATATCATTACGAAAAGCATGACATCCTGCACTGAGAACAGTGGAATATCAGAGAACAAATGTTTGTGTAAGAGAATTGGACATATTTAATGACGGTTCGGGTTATGACAATGGCATTGCTGTAATATATGCGGTTTACTTGTTTGGTACTGAAACAGGCTATGGCAAAATTAGACCTGAACCTTACACAATTCGGTTTTTCAAGCCGAATTGGCTGCTATCGTATTTGCTCTTAAATGGATTGATGAAAGTCTCAATGTAAAAATATGTATTAATATATTGTTACGAAATGTAGAGGCGCGGTAAGATGGCTTTCCCGCAAAGCAGTTTTAGGGTTGCCATAAGTTGGCAAGGGAAGGCATGGCTGCCACATTTGGCGAGAAATCGTCCATTCGGCGACAAAATTAGCGATAAGCCATGGATGGATAGAGAACCTTTTGGAACGAATTCTTACTGGTTTAGCCCAGAATGCAGGGGCGTAGCTAGAGGGGGGCAAGGGGGGCATCTGTTCCCAGGCGCAGAATCCAAGGGGCGCCAAACTGATGTTACGACATTTTAGAATTAAATGTTTTCCATCCTTGGCAAGCAGTAGGGGGCGCGAAAACTTCAGTCGTCCCTGGGAGTTGAAAACCCTAGCTAAGACTCTGCCAGAATGTTCTCGAGCACAGACCGAAAGCTATATAAACCCTGCTGGTCCGCAGTCAGTCAGCGTGTGCTTCATCGTAGAGTGTGTCTCAGTGTATGTGCCTCGTCTAGCGAGCTGATAGTCAGTCATTGAGCGAGTGTCTCGAAGTCTAGCGCCGAGGTGGTCGTCGAGTGCATCGAGAGAGTCTTTTAGTGCATCGTCGAGTTTGTCTTAGACTGTGCTGAGTCGAGAGCTAGCTGTGTATCGTCGAGTGCATCCGTGGAGAGTCTCGAGAGTACGGGAGTCCGAAACGACCAAACGGAGTCGGAAGCTGTACTCTGGTGCTTTGCAGGAAGCCGTCTCCACCGTTATTGCCTGACAGTGTGAAGGCTGTGTCGCTGATTGTTCCAGCGTGTTTATAGTAGATCTTCGACGACTGTAAAACTGTTTTGGAGCTGTCCTGATTAATATTGATAAATAAAGTGTGTTTCGATACTTCATCCAGTATCGTCGTTGTGCAGTCCAAATCTACGAACCCCGTACGAACGTGAAGGAAGAAAATAACGTAACAATATGTACAGACTTAATTATCTGATTTCGAAGCACAAGCAGATGTTCGTAACAGCAATATTTTGGTCTCATATAGACAAGATCTCTTTGTAAAAGGTGAGAAAATACATGAAGAGAAAATGAACTGGGTGAAAGCCCATACTGGTGTTACAGGCAATGAGAGGGCCGACATGCTGGCCGAAGAGGCTGCTATGGGTCATGCCGGGAATGCGTTCGATATTCAAGCATCAAAAAGAATTGTTCTTGGTAAAATCAAGGATTTCTGTTATGATTGCTGGAAAGAGAAATGGAACATTCTGGGAAAAAGGAAAGATTATTTGTTGAAAGTTTCTAAAAATATGAGAATGATATGTAATTTTGATTACAAACAAATAACTACTGGACACTGGCGTTTCCCGGCGTACCTGATAAGATTTATTTTCCAAAATAATAGTCTTTGTAGTTTTTTGTAGTGTTGAAGGCAATGCACAACATTTCGTTGAAGACTGCGTATTATTGCAAAATGCTAGGTGTTGGTGTTGGTGTATTTAATTATGGCAAAGCACACTAGGGCTATCTTCCTAAGGAAAGGGATGCCTTCGTGGAGGACTTTTTAAGGGAAACTGGCTCATATACACGTTACACATGGAGAAAACCACGAAAACGCCCATGCAGCCAGCCCGTTCGCGGGATTCGAACCTCGGACCGAACTACCAGGCAAAATGCTAGGGAAGAACACGAAGCATAAAGGAATTCTACTGCCGCAATAAAGAGTTTAGATTCTCAAAGGATTTGATGAACTTTTATAAATCAGCAGTAGAACGATACTGGAAATTTTAGTTTGATGTTTTTAATTATATTTCTGTTTTAATCTTTTAATTGTATTTTTGTTTGTCTGTGTTGGGTGTGCTGCGTCAACCATGAGGTCGATTATTGTTGGCTAGGAGGGTTGCAGTACATTCGTATATTACATTACACTACATAGTAAATCTTGTCTTGTTTAAGTAAGTCTTAGTAGTCGATAAACCAGACAAAACGTAACCAAAGCCTTAGCTCTAAAAATTGGTACTCAAAAGATGAAGTCTGTGATTACAGTCAAGTACCTTGGGTTAACAATAGGCAAACTTCTCCCGAATTTCTCATTTACAAAACATCAATACTTTTTACGACGTACGCATGGATATAACTGCTGCTTAAATCCACAAGTAACAAGGGTTCTTCTAAAAATAGTAGTATTAAAAATGGTAAATTACGGAGTCGGAATTTGGACACAATGACAGTGAGGGAGATTAAATGTTTAAATTCAGTTCAAAGGCTTTTTACTCTTTGCATTATTTGAGCGTATTCCACAACTTCATATATAGCTCTTGATACTTTAGTTGGTACTTATCTACTATCAGTCAGTGCAGAAAAGGAAAGCACCTATATGAAAGTCTTTAAGTGTTTTCTCTTTTCTTCCTGCATGTGTTCGTGGTATAACGGTAGCACACTCTGCTCGTATTCGAGAGGTCCCAGGTTCGAGTCTCGAAGTACTGCTCATTTCTCGTGTTTCCTACTTCAAAAATGCTAATGACTCTATAGTGGCGCCAAAACTAAAAGGTGGTGGATGATGATTCTTCACCATCAAGATTTGGCAATTGGGTTCCCTAATCTCCAGTCGCCCTTTAAAAGGGGGAGTGTATATGGTATTTTCTCCCTTCTTTCTGCATGTCTTCGTGGTGTAATAGCAGCACACTCGGCGCGTATTCGAGAGGTCCCAGGTTGAAGTCCCTGCGAGGGCATCAAAATAACCTAAT